ACGCCCCCAGGACTCAGTTCAAATAATTATTGAGGCGCTGCCATTCTTCTCTCATCTAGCTCTCCATCTTCTCTCCCAGAGTGGCTGCTTTTGTCACCCCATTTTTCAGTTTTTTAAAAAGATCTATTCATTTATCGGAGAGCACGCACACACATGCGAGCAACCAAGGGCACGTGAGCAGGAGGGCTGGAGGGAGAGGCAGAGAGAGAGTCTCAAGCAGACTCCCCACCAGGAGCGGAGCCCAGTGTGGGGCTCAATCTCATGATCCTGAGATCCTGACCTGAGCCCAAACCAAGAGCCAGACACTTAACCTGACTGCACCACCCAGGCGCACCCCCCCTTTAAAGGAGGCAGCCATGACAAGCTGGTGAATTAAAAAGAAACCTCTGAGGATACCTGAGTCCCAAGCAGGCACGTATTTCCCTTGGAGATGGGGTCAGGTGGCAAAGCAGAGAGAGAAGAATGAAAAGAACCCTGCCAGCAGTTACCTTTTCAGAGTTAGGTCGGTTACTGGTGGTGGGGGTGGGGGGGAGGTCATTCCAGCAGCACCTGACTAGAGATTTCCAACTTTAAAGACTTCATGAAGATCTTTAGCTAAATAAAACCTCAGATTTTACTTGCTTCTATTTGGAGATCATAAGATCTCATTTTCCTTAAAACCCGAGCTATCAGAGGCACCTGGGTGGCTCAGTGGGTAGAGCGAGTGACTCTTGATCTCAGGATCACAGGTTTGTATTCCACGTTGGATGTAGAGCCTACTTAAAAACTTGAAATATTGGGGTGCCTGGGTGGCCCAGTTGAATCTGATTTCTGATTCAAGCTCAGGTATTGAGCTCAGGGTTGCGAGTTCAAGCCCTGCGTTGGGCTCTACACAAATGGAGCCTACTTTAAAAAAAAAAAAAAAATCAAACAAAAAATATCATAATCTAATATAGTGGGCTTTATTTACAGATTTATTTTGGTAATACCTACTCCTTGTTTGTCAATTTTACCATACATCTTAAGTTTTTAACCTCCAGCTCTACCCCATTTTTCTTCATTGCTTCCCTTATGCACATTTTTCTACTTCTTACTTGAAAAATGTGACACTGTTACCTATACAGCTAGATTTCTAAAGCTATACTTTAGGAAACAGACATAAAATGTGAAACAAATGAAAATTAAAATAAGACAAAATTGGGACACCTGGGTGGCTCAGTGGGTTAAGCCTCTGCTTTCGGCTCAGGTCGTGATCGCGGGGTCCTGGGATTGAGTCCCGCATCGGGCTCTCTGCTCGGCAGGGAGCCTGCTTCCCCTTCTCTCTCTCTGCCTGCCTCTCTGCCTACTTGTGATTTCTGTCTGTCAAATAAATAAATAAAATTTAAAAAAAAGTAAGACAAAATTATAGAGATGAAAACAGACTGGTGGTTGCGAGGGACTAGGGATGGGGTAGGGGCAGAGATGGCCAGCCCATAAGAGGGAGCACAAAAGATCCTTGTGATGAATGTTGTGTACTTTTACTGTGTGGCCACATAAATCCACACCTGTGGTAAAAATGGGCAGAACTAAATACATTCAAAATAAATGTATGTAAAGCTGACGAAATCAGAGTTAAGCTCTATGGACCGTACTAATGTCAGTTTCCTGGCTTTGATATTACTCTGTATCCAAGATATTGCCAAATGAGAGAACCGGGAGAAGAGAACACAGGACCTCTCCAGACTATCTTTTCCAACTACCCATGAATTTATAATTATTTTTTAAGGTTTTAAAAATTACTCTTAGTAAATCCTAAAACCATTACTTCTCAGAATTACAATTCCTATTGTAATATAACAGCAGACTTACTCTTCCAATTAAAAAAAAATTGTAATTTTGAACTCAACAATTTTGTAATTGTTATCTGCTTAAAAACATTGTCTTTTAGAGAACCAGGACTCCGTGGGCATACACACACACAAAACCATAAAAATATAAGTAGCAAAATGATAAAGCTGTTCAATGAATCGCCCAATGAATAACTTGGCTTACTAAAAGCGACACTGTTTTTTAAGACATTTCAGCATGAAACACTCCCACGGGGACACTAAATCCCGCAAGAGACAACTATTGATAGCAAGGAGCTAGGAAGGTCAGCATCAGAAGTACACAAGGACCACAAACAAATGCAGTGGGACTTTAGTTCTGAAAGCTTAAAACCTACAAAGCAGAAAACAAAGGGATGCAGAAAGGAGACAAAGAGTAAAATCACTTCTCCAGCATACTTTGTGGCATAATTAAATCTCAAGAAGTCCTTCCCAATCCAGGTTCCTTACTGTTAGTCAGTTACCAATTTGGCATAAAGATCTAAGCAAACAAGTTTTCTCCAGGGCACACATATAGTTCATGGTGCCAATTCTACTGTAACTGGCCCAATTTCACTAAAATCCCAAGGCGGCTTGATTAAAAGAGAAGAGACAGAGGGACAGACAGAGCAAGCCCCCTCTAAAAATCAAATCATACAGCAGCAGGACATTTCACTCAACAGAAGGACTTTTTCCCTGGTTTTAAAAGTAAAAACACCACAAGAAACAAATGAAAATGCTATTGATTTTTATTACGTGGTGCTTGTACTTTAATGCTTGAAAAAACAAAGCCAATTCTAAGCATTACCAGCCATCCATTGTCTTCTTCATGCAAAGGCACTATTTAAAAAAAAAAAAAAAAAAAAAAAATCCTGGCTTCACAGATCAGAGCCACCTTAGGGGTTCTGTTTAAGAATATTTTCATGCTTATATGTGTGCTCTAAAAATTAGGCTGAAACGAAAAACAAAAAACAAATCCAACTGGCCAAAGAGGGAAAAATTCTAGTGGACAATTGGACCACTGTGTTGCAAATTAAACCGTTGACACCTGCAGAATAATCTCACCAGCATGACCAATCTATCCTGAAATGCAGCCCCCTTGTACCAAAAGGGGGATCTCTTCTTCCACTAGATCCTATCTTTCACTGATAAACTCTTTGGATGAGAAAACCAGCAGCAGATGTGAAAGCCACATGGCCCTCTACAAAGCAGGAGAGCAAAAAGCAGTGTTAAAAGAAAGGATTCCTTAAACAGCCGCTCCCTATCAAGAATGAAGATTTTATCATCTAATGCTGACTTTGTGGAAAGCAGCTAGCTATTAGACCCTGTTCCAAGACTCCAGCTAACAGCATCAGGCTGAAATCCAGGAGTTGGACTCATTTAGCTATACCCTTGTTTTCGACTCTTGGGAACAGGGCCAAAGTGTAAAGTTAGAATAGAACAAATCCAATTTCCAAGGGAAAGAAGAAGACAATATAGGTACTCTTGCTTAATGCACTTGATAGGCTCTGAGCACGGTTTACATTTCAGTACATTTTTATTTAGTGAATTTTAGCCTTAGAATAATTTTTTCCATTATTTCCTGAAGACTCCAGACTCTGCAAGTATTAAAAAATACTTGCTAACACCCCCACTTAATATTGTGGCAATCAAGAATACTAAAAACTTGGGGCACCTGGGTGGCTCAGTCGGTTAAGCGTCTGCTTTTGGCTCAGGTCATGATCCCAGGGTCCTGGGATCAAGCCCTGTGTCAGGCTCCCTGCTGCTCCCCCTGCTTGTGCTTCCTCAAATAAATAAATAAAACCTGAAAAAAAAAAAAAAAAAAGAATACTAAAAGCTCTTTCAAATTCCTATCTAGGTAGAAAATTTTGACTAAGCAAACTGCTTCATATAGTATAAAACCAGAAACTTTTTAAAATTGTCCTGTATTTTGTGTGACTTCATTGAACTGCCAGAGGTAGCAAGCTCTAGAGTCTACATTTGGCTACAGTTTGTACCTCTCAAACTGCCTTAATCTTTTTAACTTCACATTTTTAAAAATTTTCAACAAATTTTTTATATTTATTTTTTGAGTAATCTCTATCCCAACCTGGGGCTTACACTCACAACCCCAAGATCAAGAGTTGCAGGCTCCTCTGACTGAGCCAGTCAGGCCCCCCTAGAATTTTAGTACACAGTTCTGGTACCATTCCATTTTACTGATCCCCTTCAAGATGTAGACACTTGTGTAAAAGGCAGTCTGGAATCCGGGGACAGGAAATAGTAGGCACTAGACAAATTAAGTCTTTGGGAGTTATAGACAATGAATACTCTAGTCTCCTCTGGGGAATACAGGTATCCATGAAAACCAAAAGGTCAGCAATCATACATTCAACTTATGAGAAATTATACACTTCACCCATTATACTCTTTACCAAAAAGAAGTGAAAAAGTGACTTAATTTAATGGGATAAATCCTTGCCCCTCAAAGTGTGGTCAAAGCCACACAGGTATTACCTGTTAGAAATGCAGAATATTGGGCCCTACCCCAGACCTCCTGAGTCCAAATTTGCATTTTATCAAGATCTCCTGTGATACATGTACACAGTCAAGTGTGGCCTGGACAGTATGTGCCACCATGCTGCCCCATGGGCATATGCCCCAGAACAAGCAGTAGATGGGGAACACAGATCTGCAATTCCCTCAGGGGGTGTCTGTTCTCACGTGCCTTGCACCTCACGGAGTGGAATTCTTGTCTTTAAAGGGTCATTTGGACAATACGCGTAACACATGACTTCACTGTTTTGTCCCCAGGCTGACCCTCAGCTCCCCACCTAACGACTGGCTTGATTTAACCAAGGGGTGGCATCTTTGCATTAATGCTGAGAGGACATTAACAGCTCAGGCTAAGCTCTATAAAGGCCGAGCAGAGCTGTCGGCCACAGGGCGACCGTAACTCAGATGGCAGGGAGAACAGAGCTCTTGAACAGACGGCCACAAGGAGATAAACACCAAGTGGTGCTATGGAACCCAATCCTTCCAGTTCAAGGTTGCTTTCCCTCAAGGAAAGTTGCCATCCACTTCATTAATTCTTTAAACTTTGCAATTCTGACAAGTCCATCTCTGTTACCCAAGAGCTGCCTGCTCTTGAGTTATAAGTGGAAGGAAATCTGGAATGTTAGTTTACTAATCACTTACCTGTGCACATCTTCCTAGCTCTTTCCTGTCCAGATACTGAAATATATTGATCGCCAGTTCATAAGGCAGTTGGATATCAAAGAAGGGCACATCATCCATTTCATTCTGAAGACAAAGAGAAAAGGGAAGTAAGTTTATAATTCGGAGGTATGAAAATGCTCCTTCAAAGGGCAAAAGATATTCTTGGGCAGGAACAAGAGAGATGCTGTTGTCCCAGGGGGAGCCCAGCATTCTCACTACTCCTCGGAGCAGTCACAGAACCCGAGAGCCACTCCAAATTCTCCCTGCCACAAGCCCACCCTCCTCACATCCACTCAGAAAATCCACAAGACTGTTTCCCATAACACTTCGAAGAGCAGCAGGGGCGCCAGACCACAATCTGGGGTACGCCACAGGAAGCAGCACAAAGGCTGCGGAAAGCTTCTTGGCCTTTGAGGAAAGCTGAGTGGTGGGCAGCTAAGAAAGTGAGCCTTGAAGTCAGAGGGCCATTGGTTCCCCCAGGGCAACTCCTCCTACACCCAGCCTGTGAAGTCAGTGAGCCCCCACAGCCAGAGAAATGCTGACCTAGGTCACTAAAGTGTTTTCATCAGGAAAAGAACATGGCGATGAAGATGAGCAAGAAGTAAACAAATGAAACGCTGCATTCGAATGAGGTGAGCACCACCTCCCCTTGGCCACTGCAGAACACACGGTTTCCTGATGCACTCGGGGGCCCACACTGGTTAACCTGAGTGAGCCAGTGCAAACAAAGCAGTTCTTCTTCGGTGTCATTTATTAATGTGGAGAAATTAGAGCTCGCCTGCCTTTGGATAAGCAATTAGGGATGAGGTAACAGGCTTTATTGGAGAGATAAGGCTGTCATGACGATCCTGGTTGCACAAAGAAACAGGAGTGCGAAGCAGAAAGAAAGCCAAGTGTGTATATGTGCCCCTCTGTTCCCAAATCCACCTGCTAAAGCTCCCTTTTAAACAGATTCCTGCAAAGTTAGGGAAAGCAGGCTGTCTGTCTCCATGGAACTTCCTCAGTAAAATTCATTTTTAATAAGCTTTGGCTGACATCAGTGACTTATAGGTTGCAAGCAAATTATTAATTCACCACCCATATACAACAGTCCTATACCACAAGGCTGCAGTCTGAAAATTGAAAATAGTCTCAGCATTCTTTTTTTAAAAGATTTTATTTATTTATTTGACAGACAGAGATCACAAGTAGGCAGAGAGGCAGGTAGAGAGAGAGGGGAGAAGTAGGCTTCCTGCTGAGCAGAAAAGCTGATGCGGGGCTCGATCCTAGGACCCTGAGATCATGACCTGAGCCGAAGGCAGAGGCTTAACCCACTGAGCCACCCAGGACCCCCTAGTCTCAGCATTCTTAAGGGAGCATGAGGACTGATTTATTACCTACCAAGATCCAGGGTAAAAATTTTTCTGGAATCATTTTTCTATTCACCTAGGAGTCTCAGAGCTAAGAAGATAAGGCAAGGCATAAGAAGGAGATGTATTCAACTTTGCAAAAACAGCGCAAGGCTATGAGAGCCAAAAGGGATCTCTGGAGGGAAAAAGAGCAAGAGTTGACAGTTCTCTGTGGGCAAAGACAGTACAGAATTTTAAATCGGCAAAGAAATGTTGGTTGTGGCGGGGGGGGGGGGGCAAAAAATATCTGCAAGTATAATCAGAAGGCAAAGGGGTCCCTGCCCAAAAAAATAACGGAAAGTCTTAGTCTAATGTCAGGCTAGGTCACCTCTTACAACTAACTGGCTTCATTCACGGAGGAAAAGAGGCAGCACTTTCTTACTTGGCCCAGATATAACCTGAGACTCCTTAACACAACCACGGTATGGGGAGAGTGGTGTCACCCACCACCAGCTGAGGAAAGCCACACACAACACCAGACTATCGTTCGTGACCTTGGACTTCCTTCTGCTTTCTCTTTTGGATTATTTGACTAGGGTGAGGTGAAGAAGCCTATTTTACCTGCTTGGTAGAGAAATAAGAAAAGAACATTCCTTCTCTTCAAGCAAAGAAAAGCTTACACTCGTGCAAAGTGAACTCAGATCTAGCTTCTACACTGTTAGAGACAGCAGGCACTGCTTTCTTCAATCAGTCCCCGCTTTAGGACTGTTAACTGGTTTCTGGACGGCACTACTGTAACAAAGCAAGAGAAATCACCTTTATTTTTAGTTACTCTGGTGTAGAAAAGTCACCAGACGTGTGGTGGCAGCAGCCTTCCCTCTTTTGCCCATTCAGACGGCAGATTCTCTATTCTCAACGTGGAACACAGTGCAGCAGAACCACAGCAGAACCACACCCCTGCCACCACCCTCTTTGATCCCAACCACCATGACCTCTGGGATGGAGGTTCAGAACAAAGATTCAAATGGATAATCCTGTTCCACCACCTGACTAGTCCTGTGAACAGGCTAAAAACCTCTGGGCCTCCGCTTCCTCATCTGTAAAAGAGAGAGCATACCTACCCACAGGGCAGTTACAAGAATACAGAGAGGGTATGGGGCAAGTACCAGGGCAAATCACACAATAACTATCGATACTGCTATATTCTTTCCTGGAGTGGCACTTTGGCTCCCTTTTTCCCCTTCAACAAATATTTGTTGATTAGGTCCACATTCCAGGTGACTCCTCTACCAGCTTGTTTACACAGAGAGTTTTGTCTCCCCCATCCTACCATAAGCAGAGGACAGCTGGCGACAGCAGAGAGGGGATGGCACGGTGGAGGCAAAGTCACTCAGGAGTCTGAACAATGGGAGTGTCCATACCATAGGATCTTTTTCGAGAGAACCGTTCAAAGAGAATCAGCAATTTTAAGACGCTATACCATGATAACAACTAAGAAAGGATTGCTCTAGTGCACAGTGAAGGAAAAGGAGGCAGCCACCAGGGTGCAAATGACCAGTCAGGGGTGTTATGGTCCCCATACCAAAAACTGATCTCAAATGCCATGCTGGTCTCATTGTTAATGTACCAGTTGTGATGAGTCTTGAGAATTTGTCAGTTTTGGGGGACAGTGGTTTCAAAGCATTGAATTATGTAAACACCAACATTACAAAGCCAAACTTTCAAATCATTATGCCCTTCGAATTACATCTAACCTCCAAAATGATTGCCGATCCCTAACAAATCAAGTTCCAGACTCCTGTAAATGACCTTTCCGGTTGCTACCAGTGGTTGGGGAGTGGCAGGGAAAAAAAGTAACCAATGTGATAAGGGAAGGTCCACATCTTTAGACCTATGTAGACCCACAAGGTCAGGAAACGGAAGGCTGAAGTTTCACGTTGCACACTTGGAATCTCTTTGGCAAGACTTTTGATCACTGGTTCTTAACAGTCGATGCTGCACTGGATCACTCAGATTCCCCCTCTGGGTCCATGACATTCACCGCCCCAGATGCTCAGAATGCGGCCTGCTCTTGGCTGATGGGGCTCACCCCTTCCCAAGCACTACCCCGGTCAAACAAGCTGCCTCATCCAAAGTCACATCCCCCACTGGAGGGCAGCCTGCATCCAGTGACTAGTCAATACCTAGGTAGAGAGGCTTGTCCCTGGTGCCTCAATTCAGGACTTCTCGGGAAGGCCAAACTACTAAACCACGTGCAGGCAAAACTTCATCCCAGAATCTGTCTCATGAAAAATCCAACCCGATTTTCTGAAGCAAGAGATGTGATACAAGACAGTCCTATATTCAACACATTCTCAAAGATTCTGATGTGCAACTCTGGACACAGGAGTCTAGCTCTAGCTAACCTACTTCCCTTTCCTCTACTCAAGGAGGTGGAATGATGTTAGAATGACATTATTAAACCAAGAGACAGAACAAAGTAGAGTCAAAGTTAAATAAGTCATTCATAAACTTCACTTTGTTATTAGTAATGGATCACTTGAGAAATACCTTATAAAAGATAGAGCGTTATGAGCATACTTGACCCTGGGGTGGAAATGTAATTCTTTTACAGGTACCCAGGATTTGACAAGGATGTGGAGCCACATCCTGGACAGAGGTGCTAGCCCAGTAACCACGCACATGCTAACAGTGGGGCTTGAGCACTCCCACCTGGCCCTTCTCACAGCTCATAAACAGAAGTAAACAATATTACCCACCGCAAGTGTGTGGAGAAGTACCTTAACATCTAAAGGGTGCTATCGGAGTTCCACCTAGGCCACTCTGAAGCACACAACCATCTGAAAAGTTCCAGGCTACATGAACCAGTTCTGATTTCTATGGATTTAAAGACATGGAAATGGAGAGGTGGACGATTCAGAAACAAATTCCAAGAACGAAGGAAGGAAACTAAACAAGACACTGGAAACAGTAACATAGGAAAACCTGGTCACACTACAAAAATATCAGTAAGACTATGTTTAGAGAATCACTTTGCACCAATTTTATAGCCCAAGAATTGTGAGACTGGCTAATAATGCTACGGAAAACCAAGACATTAAAGTATTAACATGGCTTCAAAGGTGAGGAGAAACACCATTTTGATAAAATACTACCTGGCTTTTCATTTTTCAATAGCTCCAATAGGATTCTTTACCACGATGGGGGCTCTTGTGCTCTTGTCCCATATTATATATCAAGACCATCTGTAGAGTTTAAAAAAAAAGTCCCCAATTGCCTGTTACATCAAATTTCCAGGGGTGGGGCTCAAGCATCTCTTCCTCAGGGATCTTGAGGCACACTAGAAATGGAGAACCACAACCCTAAATCATAGGTGAATTAAGAAAAGAGGCAAAAAAAAAAAAAAAAAAAACAAACCCAACGACAACAAAAAAACAACAAAAAACACCACACAAACCCCACAAAGAGGTCATGTTACTTTGTTAATTCAAAGTCAGTGAATACTAGATTTTCCCAAAGTCTGCTGGACTTACTCCAAAAATGCTAAAAGAAATTGCAAATGGATCCATCCCCAGGGAGGCTGATTTGTACTCCTATGTGCTAATGTAAGACTAATTCTGTAAATGGATTGGTTTTGTGCCTTACTGTTAGAAATTTAATCTGTCTTCTCTTGTTTAGTAGAAGAAGGGATAATTACTAAGAGCCAAATCAGTGAAAAGTGAACAAACGGCCTCAAGATTTGTTCCCAATGTACAT